GCCGGCGCGCTCGGCCTCGCCAGGCTGCCCGCGAGCCGGCCCAGCTCCGCCCGCAGCCTCTGCAGCTCGCCCCCGAGCACGCCGTCCATGGCCTGCAGCAGCATGCCTTCCCTCATCTGCGAGTTCTCCAGCATGGTGAACAGCTTGTCCCAGTCGGAGTGCTCTTGACGGCAGTCGCACGGCGTGGCTAGAGCGCGGGACACACACACGTGTTACCCACCCGCCCAGGCCTCCCTTGGGTGGGCTTCGTAAAAAGCTGACCTCCCTCGGTGGCCCCAGGTTACAGCCCACCCGCAGCACAGCACGCCTCTTCCCTTGAAAGACACGTTCTTAAAAGCACTGTGTCAGTATCCCGAGAGGGCACGGAAACCACTCATTCAGATGCATCATCAGCTGAACTCTATGAAATTGCCGTTTTTGTAGCGCCAGCCAAACAGCTGCCGATTTCATGCGGTTCGGCTCGTTTTGTACCTCTTAAGAAATAACTTCAGAACTTCCTCCCTTCCAAAAGTGCTTCTCTCTCTTGCAAAACAAAGTAATTTTTAGCTCATTTCAATAGCTACAAAATATGTGTACACTATTTAGACCCAAGGAGGTAGCTCTATAGTTAAGGTTAGCAGAGAAATAGTCACAATGAACTCACGTTCTTCGGTGGAATGGATCCCATTGTCTATTTCGTTGTCCAAATTCACATACATGAGGTCATAATCGTCTGAGTTCTCCGCGGACACCACAGCCCAGAAAGCACAAAACAGGATCGCCGGGAGATTCATAGCTGAAGAGCTGAGTTCCTCGGCGACTTCCCACAGCTGGCAGGAGGGCGAGGCAAGAGGCTCTCCAGCGAGAGGGGTTCGGGTGGAGGAAAGCGAGAGTGAGAGGCAGGAGCTGAGCGCCCTTAATAAATGCTGGGGAAAGCCTGAATGGGGATGACTGAGCAATGCCAGTGGCACTGCCTGAGCGGGAATTCCCCTGGATTTTCGGGGGAGGGGGCGGGGTGGGCGATGAGGGAGGTGTGGATGTTGCACTGCAGTCAGATGAATTGCAGGAGTGTCAGAAAGGGAAAGGCGGGAAAGGGGGCCGAAGGTCCCCCTGAGGATTAGATGTTGTAACTGGAATTGCTAGCAGGGATGAGGGCAGCCTTGGGGATAGGGGGAGAAATGATTCAGCAAGGACAGAGACGTGAAGGCAAGATAATCATTTCAGCATTTCGTGTGGTCTTTTATTATTTCACAACCTGTTATGTACAGAGAACTTTTTTTTTATTTTCACTTTGCCTTTGCGTACTGCTTGACAGGTCGAAGCTGTGAAAAGCTAACGGACTGATTCTAAGAGAAAACAACGCAGTGAGAAATGTCGCAAGAATTTCTGGGACTCCAGAAGCTGAGTCCACGAGTTATCTTTAATCTTTCTGAGTTGCAACTCTACTTTTATAAACACGCTTTTTAAATGGTAAACAACACAGCAAAACTGGATAAACTTCAAGTGGGAACAAGCTGGAGAAAAGGAATAAACTGATTTTAGAAATGTTTCTTTTCATGGTCTGGTAATAGGTGGAAATTATATTATTCCACTAAGCTTAGGGATAAGGATTGTATTTTAAAAGTAAATTTAGTGATTCTTGCTTCTGCCAACATATTTACCAACATAAGAGGAAAACACTCCTGTAAGAAACACCTAGAAATATGTTCACATTATAACAATAATAAAAACTTTAAATGTACAAAGGAGCTCCCAATAAAATAAGGGAAATATTCAGGGGCCAGAGATAAAGAGGGGGCCAAAACCAAAACAGTTAGCCCATGAGCTGACACTGGGGCCCCCTGCAGTGGGGGTGAAAGGGGTTGGGGGCTTACCAGTTCTGTAACTAAGGGGCTTGGGTGTTAATCGCCATGTGGTGGCAGAGTTTAGGACTAGGGTGAAGAGTTAGAAATGAGATCTTGACATAAGCCGGGATTCTCAGAGAGTTCCATCTTGGATTCCAGTAGGTCTAACCCACCCTCTGCCCTAGCACAGCAAAGTGAGAAGAAGTGTTGACCTCTTTGACTGAACTCTACAGGGTCCCTAAGTGACTTTGGACTTGCCCTTGTACATGTCTAGGATTCAAATGAATACTGCAGTAAAATGTATACTATTACAGTTAAAGTGAATTCACAATAAAAAATATTTAAACATACGAGGGAACAATTCACCATAAATGAGAATCAGCAGAAACCAAAAAAGGATTAGAGATCCCCCCCAATAACTTTATTTATTAAAAATATCAGCTAGAAGCAAGAAAAATAAGTAATGTTTCGAATTATTTAAGATCTAAAGAAGGAATTGGAAACACGAGAAAACAGGAAGACATTGTCAAAAAAAAAAAGATTAGGTAGATTTTTTAAAGCACCAAAATATAATTATTAGAGTTTAAAAAAAGTTAATTAAAAGCCCAGTGAATTGATTAAATAGCAAATAAGCCAAAGTTAAAGAGAATATTAATGAACTGAAAGACAGAACCAAAAAAAAAAAAAATCCAAAATATAATTTTTATGTTCAGCAAAGTATCCTGGGCAACCTGGGTGGTGCAAATGGGTAAGCACTTGACTACTAACGAAAAGGCTGGTGGTTCAAACCCTCCCAGAGGCATCTTGCAAGACAGGCCTGGAGATCTGCTTCTGAAAAGTCACAGCCTTGAAAAGCCTATAGATCAGTTCTACTCTGCACACATGGGGCCATCATGAATCAGAACTGAGTCAACAGGAACAAACAACAACAAAAATATCCTAACCAGAATGCTCCTTGGAATTGAAAATACTGAGACCTCAGCTTGCTTACTTTAGGCATGTCATCAGAAAAGACGTAAGAGCTAGGAAAGGACATTATGCTTTGTAAAGTAGAAGGTTGTTGAAAATGAAGTAAACTCTCAATAAGATGGATTGATAATACAGCCATAACAATGTAGTCAAACATACCAACAATCATGCAGAGGGTGCAGGACCAGGCAATGTCACTTTCTGTTATTCATAAGGTCACCAGAGGAGTTGATACAATGGCAACTAATGACAAGAGCAACAAAGTATCCTCAAGATCATTTCACTGTTCAGGAGGACGATAGAGAAATTACACCCTCTCCTGACTTATCGACATGGTTAGGTTCCAAAGACCAGATCATTATGCGAAATCAGTGTTACATGAAAATGAAGGATGACCACATCAGATCGCAAAATGGAGGATAACTACAGCATTACATAACTTCCAAATTACATCATTACATAACTGTCAAATTACATCATCATATAACGGCCAAATTACATCGTTACATAACTGCCAAACCACTGAGAATCATGGCCCAGCCAGGTGGACACATAATCTTAATCATCAAAGCCAGCGTTACTCTCGCCTTGCACCTCGTTGTTCATTACTGCCAGACATGCGTTGTTAATGTGCAAAATAGTCGGATAGTAGATTTTTTACCATTGCCATAAATATGAAATGTTACATACCGAGATGGTTGATAAGTGAGGCGAAGGTGCAATTAATTTTGCTTTGTTAGTTCAAGGATAACCACCAAAGAACAAAAAGAAATAGAACTTCCGAGTAGAAGGATTAGAGGGAATTTTAAAAAAACGATCTATTCAATAGAAAGCAGAGAAAGAAGGAAGAAAAGCATAGACAAAGCAAGATAAATAGCACAACATTCTAAATGTGTCAATATTCTCCATACATATTAATGAACCAAACTCTTTTCAGTTAAGAGACAAAGGTCAGATATGAATCTTTTTTAAATCTAGTTATAGGTCACGGAAGCCACACATAAACCATAAGAAACTAGAAATGTTGAAAGAAAAAAAAAAGGGTGGGGGGAGGGACACAAACGTATCAAACAAGTACTTTCCAAAAACTAGTTCCAAAAAGCTAGTGTAGCTATATTAACGTCAGAAAAAACTAAACTTCAAGGTAAAAGAGGATAATTAAATTATGATAAAAGAAACAAGGAAGATATTATCTCAGCATAGTTTGAAAATATACAGGGCAAAAATTGACAGAATTATAAGTAGAAATTGACAGCTCCATAATCACGGAGGGATATTTTCACATACCTCTTTCAGAACTGGTGAGTCCACCTCTGTCATAACTGATAACTCAAATGCCAAAGAAACTGCTAAAGGATGCAGAACCTTATCCTTTAAACTATGTAATTTTAAGTTTGGTATAATGGACTGTAAGCAGCACTGCCCAGATGGTTTGGGAGGAAAGTACTACCAGACATTCAAGGAACGCATAATCCCCGTCCTATACAAACTGCTGCTGAGAATCGACTGTGCAGAAATGCCCGAGACTCTTTTTTACATATCTAGTAAACATGATGCCAGAAAGAGATAAGGAAATACAAGAAAGGAACATTGCAGCCTTGTCTCATTTAAGAAATAGATGCAAAAGCTCTAAATGAAATACTAGCAAAACAAATCCAGCAATATATGCACAAAAAAGACAGCACAACCAAGTTCAGTTTATATGGAAATTACAAGACTGATTAAACATTAGAATGTCTATTTATTATCTTAACAGTTTAAAGGGGAAAAAAGCCTATGATTATGTCGACAGATGCAAAAACCCTGGTTCATAAACTAGGAAATAGAAAGGAACTTGCTTAAATTGATCAAGTGTGAATACCAAAAGCCTATAGAAACATACGGAGTCCTGGTGGTATAGTGGTTAAGAGCTCAGCAGCAAACCAAAAAGTCAGCAGTTCTAATTTACCAGGTACTTAATGGTGACTCCTTAGAAACACACTGTTTAAGAACAGGAATAACAAAAGGATACTCACAGACTCTAGTTGTATTCAGTGACGTACTGGAGGTCCCAGCCAGTAAAGTAGGACAAGAAAAGAAACATAGGATGAAAAAAAAGAAACAAAGCTGTTGTCAATCATCATGAGTTGATTACCTATTTACAGGAAACCTAAGAAAATCTAAAGACAAATTATTAATAAGAGAATTCAGCAAGTTACATCTTCTGGATGTAAGATCAACATACAAAATCAATTGCTTTTTTAATACCAGCAGACAACTTGGAAGTACCTTTGGGTGGGGGGGAGCTTCCATTTCAAAGCAATAAAAATGTGAGATGCCAAGGAATCGGCTTAACAAAAGATACGTAAGGCCTAGTTAATATTACCGAACTTCTTTGAAAGACACAAAAAACACCAACACAGAGGGAAGGATGTATCATGTTGTTGAAGGGAAGACTCAGTTTCACAAAGATGGCAATTATCCCAAATTAGTCTAAACATTCAGTTGAAAAAAACTCCTATTTTTTTCAAGGCAGTTGATAAATTGATGTAAATTTTATATGGAGAAGCAAAGAACAGCCAAGATAAATCTGAAGAAGTAGAAAATGAGGAAAGTTGTCTTATGAGATGCAGTGATTAATTATAAAGTTATAATTAAGACAATGTGGAATGGTGAAGGGATAAACACCTAGAAACAGACCCACAGGTGTATAGGACACCTGATAAATGAAAGAGGGGCTACAGATCAGAAGGGAAACAATTAACTACTCAATAAGTAGTGCTGGTACAATTGCTTATATACACCAGAGAAATATAAATACATTCCTTCCTCATATGTTCAAAAATAAATTCCATATGGATTAAAAACAAATATGAAAAACAAAACCATAATGCTTTTAGGAGAAAATATAGAACAGTATACTTATGAACTCAGGATAGAGAGAGATTTCTCCAATAACAAAAGAAAAATCATAAACCATAAATTGAAAAGTTAAAAAACAACATAAAGATCACAATTTTAAAACAAATTAACTAACAAAACATTAGTCTCCAGAATAAAGAACTTGTACAAATTAATAAGAAAAAAGCAAACATCCCA